GGGGGACAAGGGGCAGAGGGCTTTGAGGTGGGGGGGCTGGCCTTCCCTGCTTTCAGAGACTGTGCCAGGCCCCCTCCCGGCTCCAGGCTTGCACAGATGGCTGGGCAGTCTGCAGGGCCGCCTGGTCATCCCTGACCCATCCTGCTTTCAGCTTGCCCCCCGCCCCCCGCCGTTCCCCTAAGGGTGGAGGGCCCCCTCCACGTGTACAGTCCTGGGGAGGGGGGCTTGCCCATACTCTTTGCTCTTCTGGGGAAACTTCACCACCTTGACCCTCTGGGCCTTAGCTTGGCCAGTTCCTCTTTTAACCCCCATCCCTGATATCACCCCCATCTATAACCCATTCCAGCCCCCGAAGGCCTCAGGCACTGGGCTTTACCTCAACTGCCTCTGTTTGCTCTTCTCTTCCTCAATCTGGAAGTTGAGGGCACAGATTCGCTCCTTGCACTCCTCTAGCAGGGCTTGCTTCCTGGAAAGAGGCAAGACAGCCCTCCATCATGTTCTCCGAATGTCTCCCCAGGAAAGGGCTGAAGCGGGGCTTCTGCTTCCTTTTCCTGCGGTCTGTCCTAGGCCTCTAGGTGGAGTCCTTCTTTATAACTTGTGTGTGTGTGTGGGGGGGGGGGGGGGGGGGGGGCACAGCCAGCAGCCCTCCTGGTCTCTGCTCGCCCTAGTGCTGGACACCGCTTCCCTTTCACATGTATAGGGAGCCCCCAAAACTTACGCACATGATTTTTAATAACTCCATTGATGTTTCCTTCTTTCCAGAGTTAACCCACTGGGGTCCATAATTATTCAGAGGGTGTGCGCCTTCGGCTCGGCCTGCCTTTGCCCGGGACGCTAAGTGTCCCTCCTCTTGGCGCACGATCCTGTTTCCAGGTGGGGAGGGAGGGCGGGCACCTGTGCAGAGAGGTGTGGGCGCTCTGTTAAGAGAGCAGACCTGCCGAGAGACCCCTTTTTCTGAACAAAGAATACGAAGAACTGAGGCTTTTCTCTGAGAGCCAGTAGCCCTTGGTGTTCTCCCCCGTGTGTGTGTCCCGGAGTCAGAGGGGGGCTGCGTGGGGAGAAGGGGCGGGGCTTACGCTGCCCCTGAGCCTGCGAGAGCCCAGCCCCCGGCCACCGCTGTGGCGCCTCCAGCATCTCCTGTGAGGACCCTCCTTGTGGCGGTCCGGCCGGATATGCAGGGCGCTTGCCTCTCACTTATCACACAGAAGTGACAACAGTTGGGAATTCTTGCTGGCGGTCCAGGCAAAGGGCTGTACTCGTATTGAGGGATCTGTTTTAAAATCTATAAAATCTGAAACATGCGGCTCCTGCTGGGACGGGGCGGGAGGTGGAGACAGGACAGCTCTGTCTCCGGCCTCGGCCTCGGTTTCCCCAGGACCTGGACGTTGGAAAGGGAGGGAACGGGGCTCTGAAGTCCTTTTCCTGTTTAAAATGAAAATGGGTCTAAAGCAGTGGTTCTCAACCTTATCTGAAACAAGCGGCTCCTGCTGGGACGGGGCGGGAGGTGGAGACAGGACAGCTCTGTCTCCGGCCTCGGCCTCGGTTTCCCCAGGACCTGGACGTTGGAAAGGGAGGGAACGGGGCTCTGAAGTCCTTTTCCTGTTTAAAATGAAAATGGGTCTAAAGCAGTGGTTCTCAACCTTCTGGCCCTTTAAATACTGTTCCTCATGTTGTGACCCAACCATAAAATGATTTTCATTGCTACTTCATAACTGTCATGTTGCTACTGTTATGAATCGTCATGTAAATATCTGATATGCAGGATGGTCTCAGGCGACCCCTGTGAAAGGGTCGTCCAACCACCAAAGGGGTCGTGACCCACAGGTTGAGAACCGCTGGTCTAAAGGGACTGAGCGGAGCAACCTGGCCTGGGGTCACTTCTCCCGCCTTTCGGGTGACCCCTGTGGCCAGGCTGGCCCGGCCTCCCTGGGAGAGCCGGGGGTGAGGCTTGGCGAGGGCGGCATGAGAAGCAGTGCCTATGAGGCCTGGAGAGCCTACCCCTCCCTCCAGGTCCGCTGCTTCCGGGGCCCACCCCTGCATGCTGGCCTCGGAGACGCGAGGGGGTCTCGGCCTCCGCTAACCCGGGGTCCCCTCCACTGTCAGGCCCACGGGCAGCCGGTGGGGTCCCCCCGGCGGCCTCTGAGCATCAGCTGCTTGCTGGCTCCATCCGAGCCCTGCCCCGGGCGCGGCGGGAGGAGCTGGACGGGTGCTGTGCTGACCCCTGGGTTGGAAGTCAGAACTTGCCATTTGGGCTTTTGTCACGCTGGCGGCCGTGTAACTTGCCCCTAAACCAGGACACATCAGAGAGTGACTGATAACTAAACAGCCATCAACTGGCGCTGGGAGAGCCCAGGCCACCCAGACGGAGGGCCCGCCCCGTTACCTTCCGTGATGAAACCAAATCTCCTGCGATCCGCCCTAACTTAGCGCTCATCGCCGGCACCGCAGTGGAGCCTGACTCTATCTTTCGATACTTGTCCATCCTGGGAGCAAAGCGGGCAGCACGCACCGTGATTGAACCCTCCGATCTTCCCGTTTCACGGGGCTCACATTCATGCCAACGCTGCACACTGTACCTCCCCGTGGAGTTCTGCCCCGTGTGGGCCAGGAGCTGCGTCATTGCCGTGGCTTATGGCCCGGAGCTGGCTGGCTGGGGCTTCCTGGCTCACCTTCCGGTGAGCGTGAGGCCTGGGTCTGAGGTTTAGGAGGAACCCGAGCGCCTCCCGACACAGGGACGGGCCTCTGGCGCGGGACCCGCCCCGTGGGCGACGCCTGCCCTCCTGAGCGAAGGCATCGCAGCTGGAACCTGAGGCGAATGTGATGTTTAGAAAGATCCCCGCCAGCTTCTCCTTCTGGGTCTTGACAACCTGAGAGGAAAGACACAGGAGCGTTCCACCCCGGGGGGCCCTGGCCCAGACGCACGGCCATGGCCCGTCCTCCGAACCCCACGATGCTGTGGGGGACTCAGAGCTGGAGAAAACCAGGGCGAGGTTAGCCGAGGGCAGCCCCGCCGCCCCCTGCAGGTGAGGGGTGGTACTCGAGGAGTGTGCTCAGGAGCCAAGACCTGTCCCTCCTGGTGACACGCCGTCTCCGCGCCCCACTTTCCAGGGGCCGGTGTCCCGTCACCACTCACAGCCTGCGGAGTCACACCCCGACTTGTGGTTTGTTGCAGGGGACCCGGAAGCCCAGCGCCCCTCAGAAGCCCCTGCCCGCAGTGCCTCTGAGCAAGACGGCCCGG